ATATATACTGAAAAAACGGTTTTTGGGGTCGAACTTTGGGGGTAGTTTCCGCTTCATTAAACCGTATATTAAGTATTGCTTATTTTTTAGTCCTCTACAACATATCACAGTTTCATTGGAATCGGTTCCACATAATTCCGTTACCTTCCTGGTGAGACGCACACTCTTCATTTTCTACTCTCGCTGTCTCTCCATTTCTCGCCTTACGTACATTTTCCCCTCTACCACCCGCCAAAATCTACGCCGCTCCACCACTTTCAGCTCCCCCAACCATTCGTCAAACAGATATACCAAGCACGAGTATTGTACTCACGCAAATACACATGCATCTGGTGTTAACGCGCGCGGACAAAAAGAGGCAACAGACCGAGGAAAAATTGTAAGAAAGACGTTTTTCTTGTCACATGTTATTGATAGTAAAATAGAAAAGGAATCATAGAAATCTTGGGAACAATAGAAGAAATGTAGATAGTCTAAGACGAACGTAGATAGTCTTGGTGAAAACATCAACAAAAAGATTAAAACATGGATACAACAACGTTAGCTAAATCCTGGATTTATTAATAGGACACTGCGAGCTGTAATGTTATATACACAAAATATAGAACCATAATTACCAATCTAAGTGCTGTAATCAGGAAGAAAAAATTTTTTTTTCCTGTATATCTGCCCAGCACTAATAGCATGACGCTAAAAGTACGGGATCCTTCTTCCTAAGGTACGAGGTGTGATCAAAAAGTAAGGTGAATTTTTATTTTTCTCAAAAAATATTTATTTATTCATCAATTTTTATTTTATCTCCTTCAAAGTAATCCCCCTCGGATATAATGCACTTGTGCCAACGCTTTTTCCAATCCTCAAAGCATTTCAAAAAATCATTTTTTGTGATCTTGTTTAGTTCATCCTTCGATGCCGTCTTTATCTCCTCAATCGTGGCAAAACGCCGTCCTTCATAGGCCTCTTCAGTTTTGGGAACAAGAAGAAGTCACAGGGGGCCAGATCTGGGGAATACGGTGCCTGTGGCATCGTTACTGTGTTGGTTTTAGCCAAAAATTCGCGCACAAGCAACGATGTGTGAGCAGGGGTGTTATCATGGTGCAAAAGCCAATTTTTATTTTTCCACAAATTCGGACGTTTCTGGCGGATTGCTTCGCGCAAATTACGCATAACTTGCAGGTAATATTCCTTATTTACTGTTCTACCCTGTGGCAAGAACTCATGATGCACCACGCCCCTGCAGTCGAAGAAAACTGTAAGCAAAACCTTTACATTTGATCGAACTTGGCGTGCTTTTTATGGTCTTGGTGATCCAGAATGCCTCCACTGGGACGATTGAGTCTTAGTCTCGACGTCATAATCGTATACCCATGTTTCGTCACCTGTTATAACCCTGTTGAGTAAATCTGGATCATCGTTGACGTCATTCAGTAGCTCTTTGGCGATGCTCATGCGACGTTTCTTTTGGTCGAAATTGAGCAATTTCGGAACAAACTTTGCTGACACACGTCTCATGTCTAAAACACTCGTCAAAATTGATTGGCACGAACCAAATGAGATGCCAATATCATCAGCAATTTCTCTAATGGTAATTCGACGATTTCCCAATACTATTTTCTTCACTTCTTCAACATTCTCATCAGTTGTTGATGTGCTGGGGCGTCCAGAACGAGGTTCGTCGTCGGTGTCTTCTCGGCCTTCTTGGAAGAGTTTATACCACTTGTAAACATTTTTTTGGCTTAAAGTAGACTCACCGTATGCCACTTTCAGCATTTCAAGTGTTTTGGAACATTTGATTCTATTTTTCACACAAAATTTAATGCAAACTCTTTGATCCATGTTTTTAGACAGCAACAAATCGTGGAGCACGCAAAACACTTCTAACCTTGATGCCTCTCACAAACAAACCAAACATACTACAAAGCTGAAATTTGGAACGTATGTTCTAGACGAGTCTACCGACATAACCAAATAAAAAAGTCGAAGATCGAACGGACGTAGCTCGCTAAATTTCAAAATTCACCTTACTTTTTGATCACACCTCATATGTTGAAGTGGCAGTGAAGTGGCAGAAGTGGCCTGCTCTTCCTAAGACCGTAGAATTTGGAGAAACTTCGTGGTGTATCACTAGAGGGATAACAATATAATTGTTTCTATTAATGTAAGTGTCCCTAAACTGTTTGAAGCATCTTAGATTCATGTTCGTAATAATAAAAATACCGTAGGTTGCGCAGGTCCCCAATAACGTTCTTACCGAATACATTCCCGATGGAGTATGGCCCATGTGCTTTCTTTGTATAAGAGGCGTTTTCCTCAACGTCGTTCAAGTGGTTCTTGACGTCCTTGATATCGTTTTAGGTATTGGACCCATTCTGGTGTCTGCTTGTTTGTTCTCTAACGCTCGTAAATGAATATCTGAGATAACGGAACCAGCGGCATTCCACTGATTATCTTCAAAATCCCTCATCAAACTCTGCTCAAATCTTGAGCGCAGGTTTTCATCTGCTACACAAGGTTCACCATTACGCCTTGATTGTATCAATCACTTATTCATTACATAAGCAGACGAGTAAACGGAAAAATCACAATTGGATTGGTCACGAGAAAGGTATTCGTGGAAAACGCGTTCCTGGAACATCTCCAGATCACTCTAGGTGCTTAAACCTCATGCTCTCATGTAGGCCTGAAGATGGTCTGTTTTTGTGGCCTCAATTCATATTTGCAGCGCCATGATCTGCAGTTACTTGCTCATGCATTACACCAGTAATACATTTTTAAAGTTCAGCGTAGTGTAGCCATTGCACTAGAAAACGGAAAAATTTATGATGCCGCCGAGCACGTAAAAAATTATATCGTAGAGCATGCAACCATGAGCCAGTACGAATGTATGCCCACGAAGCACTTCACCTTTTAGTTGTGACAGCGAGTATCGTAATTGCACGACCGTGAAATCACTCAAAAAAGAAAAAAGAAACGATTCAAGAGACATAGAAAAAAATCAACATTTCAGAAGGTACCATTCTGGAATAAAACTGTAACGGTGCCTGCCTTTTCTTTTTCAGCATTTGTACCCGAGCAAGAAAGGGAGAGAGAGAGTGCGTCTTACGAATGCCGGACTATAGGCGCTGTATTAGCCGAGTTCGGCAGTGTCGCGCGCCTAAAATTAGCAAAGTGAGTGGTGGGAGAAGGTGTGAGAGAGAGCGGCTCTCACGCATTAGTCAGACGTCAACGCCAGTCATTAGGAGAGAGCTCGCCACCAACAACACGCATTACCACCAGCAGAGTCGGAAACCTTCTTTTGTTTGCTAGTCTATTAGTGCAATCTTGTTGTGGTGCGGAGAGCTGCGCCGATTTCAGTTATTTATTGCTGCCGGTCCTGCTGAGTTTTCAAGGGAGTTGTCAAGGAGCATCGAGTATCTGCCTGCAAGTTTCTTCAACATCGTCAATTAGGTCACAGCTTCTTTTCTCTCTCTCTCTCAATCATTTTATTTTCCTTTCTTTCTGGCATCCGCGACTGCATGCTGTATCAGGCTCTCACGGGCCGACATAAATAGTTTATTTTATTGTTCTTGTTATTGAGTCGGTAAATAGGATGGCAAGGCGCTCGCGTACCGGCCATCCTATTTAATAATTGTGTTAATTAGATTAAGATATATATGTGAGTGTGTGTATGTGTGTGTGATTTTCGCCGGTACTCGTGATAGTGCCTCTGTAATAAAATGCGTTCTTTCCAATTGCGTAAAGTTATTGTGTTCACCTTTCCTTTTCGCTTTGCTGGGAGCGATACATTGCCTTCCTTACCTTCCCTTTCTAGATAATTGGTAATAGTATTGAAATTGTTGGTTATTAGCAGCTGACACTATTACAAAACTCCTAATGTCAAGCCATATCTAGTACTGACAAAGGGTAGCAGCGATATCAGAATAACCTAGTAACTATTGAAATGATACAAAAAGCCTTTAAAGATGAGTGTATGGGCAAAACACAAATAAAAGATTGGTATAAGCTATTCAAAAGTAGCCGCACATCCGTTGACAGTGATCCTCGTTCTAGTCTGATTTTTTCGATTATAAGGACATTATGCACCACAAATATGCCCCTATAGGCCAGACAATCAACAAAGAGTATAACTTTGAAGTTTTGAAAAGATTGCGTCATGCAATCAGGAGAAAACAATCGCAACTTTGGGAAAGCAGTGACTAGCTTCTTTATAACGACAATGTTTCAGCGCACTCATCAAACTTTGTGCAGCAGTATTTATTAACAGTGTCAGAGCGGTTCCGCCAGCCTCTATACAGTCTTGATATAGCTTCCTATAACTTTTAACTGTTTCCTTGATTGAAAATGTGATTGTAATAGATTATTTCTAATGCCAGATTCGGATTTTACTGAGTTTTTTTGAATATCGACCTATGTTATCGTAGTCAACTCATCAGAAATCTTCAAAATATAACACTACATATCGATATACACTAAATACTCTAAATACACTCTTACCAAACTTGAATATAATATTTAAAATTAAACTTTACCCGAACAATAACTGAATAGGGAGCGTAAATAAGAAAAAAATATTCACCAAACTTTTATCATATATTTCTAGATATGTTGATTCATTTATTTACTATGCATCTATGCGTCTTTGGACAAATTCTACGCATTCTTTTAACGGAAGATATTGACCCTAAGTAGAATTAACGTGAAACAGATAAATATATCTATAATTTAGGGTAATATGTATTTACATATTACAGTCGTCTTTACATTTTACGGATTTAAATATTTCTCATTCAGTCTATTTAACTTCAACACGCGTCGATCAAGACTTTATACTTTTTCTATTTTTGCGCCTGTTATAGGCATACGAATAACTTATAATTTTATAAAACACTTATACGATCACGTTATGCTATTATCCAGTTACATTATTTCTAGCTAGCTAAAGTATCAGTTAATTTATAATAAATATATGTGTCAATTTCATATACAGCAATAAAACATACCTGGTACCAGCTCTTTCACAACTCAATCTAGAAATTAAAACAGCTCTAGCTTGCCTGTGTCCTACATAGACTGTTCTAATTTCCACACTTCCACATACGGCTTTAAGTAACCAAATATCTGTATTCACACCAAAACGAAGTAAATGTATATGAAGCATTCGATTCCTAAAAATGAAAAATAAAAATTAATTATTACTCAAAAATATATAATGTGTTCATCCATATTTTTATGAAGATTGATAAGTAATGAATTGAAAAAAACAAAGATGTCCCACATTCGGTTGAGGGATAATATATTTTATAAAGCTATATTTCAGGAATTATTTTATCTACTTGTTTATGTAATGTTAGAAAAGATAAAAATTAATCTTAGCTTATTTTTAATTCGATACCTATGACCTATTTTCATGTACGCGAAAATCTGTAATTTGAAAAATTTATCAACTAAATAAACATTACATCTGCTGATCTTTCCTATAGTGAAATTATGTCATGTAACGAGTATTCCTCGTCTTGCAAATTGAATTTGTAACGAACTAACATTTGTTAAGGCCGACCGCGATGACATTCGAACGAATACGATAAGGAAAGCGAGCACGAATGAGAGAGATCAGTTAAGTAATTCGGAAAAGTATTAAGTAAGATTTTTTATCCTAACCTAAAAGTGTAAAAAACACTGTTTTTAGAAATAGTTTAGGTTATGAAGCATTGCTATAATTTTTTTCCGAAAAAACAATGCAAAAAATAAATTTTCTTCTTTTAAATACCGTTAAGTATGTTCAAATATCTTTATTTTTCGACGAAATGTCGCATTTGGGAATTCTAAATTTTTATATTTCTCGATATGTAACGACCCCCTAAAAACCACGCAGATATCAAGCAGTCAGTTTGTTTTACGAGGGTGAGTCAATAAGTCCTTAGAAAATCCAAGAAATGGCGCTCAAAGCATTCCAACTTATGTTGCATCAGCAAGTGTTATATGTAATTCACGTGGAATTATCTTTGATGACTATTTAGAAAAAGGACAATCACCGGAGAGTATTATGCGTCGTTGTTGGACGGGTTAAACGAGAAAATAAAGGAAAATCGTCACAAATTATATGTTAATATGAACAAAAAAAAATTCTGTTTCATTAAGACAATGCACGACTGTACACTTGTTTAGTTTCAATTCGAAGGAAAGAAAGACAGGCAATACGAGTAAACTAGGTAAAGATGTTGAGAGAAGAAGAGTGGAATATAAAAGTAGGTTATGGAAAAATTTTGTACAGAGCAGATTGGATGAGAGCAGATAGTAATGGAGATTTTAAACAAAAGCTAAAGAACAGAAACAGCAAGTATATGCAGTATAACCTAAAAGGTATCGATGTAAGAAGAAGAAGTGGAAGAGCCATGAATCAAGTAACTTATACGACGCAAAATGACACGAACAGTGGGTTAAACAACGCGAATTTCGCCGAGATCAGAAATCGAAACACTACTTATATGAAAACAAAAACAAAGATGAGGACATAGATGAAAATAAAAGTCAAAAAACTAGCGAGAAGGTAGGAAATTTGTATTTTGGAATTTCAAATTATTTAAATTTATTAATCTAAAAATACAAAGTTCATGGAATATTTCTCGTACATTTGTAATTGCCTAAAGAGGTAAACAAGTTACCTATACATACGCTGGACACAAAAAAAATTTACATATTACGGCAATAAACTATATTAGAATTACGTATAGAATATTGTATGGTACTACTATTATAAGCACACTTACATTCTTATAATTGAGCATTTTGTCTTTATATGTTTATCAGGATCTGATGAGCATTTTTTAGCGGTACAAAAGTTTCCTGTAGGTACTTTGATATTTCTTGCAAATATGAATTTTTCAATTTGGCTTAATCTTGCAGGATTTAACTACACATTAGACTCTATAATATGGGAACATATCTCAATGTTGAAATATCGAATCGTATTTACAGGAATATGTAAAAATAATTTCATCTAAAATTACGATGTCTTTAGATTTAGGTTGTAATTTCAGTGAATATACAGAATTGGTAAAAATTTATTTCTCTTTAATACCTCTATCAAAATAAAGTATTGCTCGGTTATTACCAATTTAATTTATTTCTCTATACGGCATATGATTAATTTCTGTAATCGGCATACCTGGTGCTAGTTTTGTTATCCTGTTTAAAGCCTTGACGTTATTTTTTCAGCTATTTTGTCTATTCTGTCAAATACTCTTTCAATAGGTTTGTATGTCGGACTATTAGATGCAGGTGCTGTATCTATTTCAATATGTGAGGCTCGAACATATGTCTTGAGACTCTTGTCTATTTGTTATGCGAGTTTGTATACTTGCTATAGTGGTTCAATTTTATGTATTCTTGACTTTATAAACTCATTTGCCAAATTCACTATGGTTTCGAATTCTTTTTTAGTTTTTGATTTAATTTTTTTGTAATTGTATATTGTTACTCTAGACTGCGATCTTTTGTAATTTAGATTGCAATTTTCTTGTGCATAAATACAAGTTCTTCTATTTAATATTTTTTTTTCGATATCTCTTTCCTCATGAACTTTTTTTTTTTATTTAATTCCTCATGAACTTCTGATGTAGGATACCGATTTCTATACCACGTTTCCAGTGTTTGATTCAAATCTGTGCAGTTAATTTTTGATTCTATAATCTTTTCCTTTTTTCTTTTTTCTTTTCTTTCATTGTACTAGTAGTACTTTTTCAATTTGTTTTTTATATTTTCTTTACTCCTCTTCATATCCTTCAGCTCTGTTAGTAATTTATTGATAATTTTGATTACTTCTAAAAAAACTTTAAATTACGTCGAAATTCAGGTAGATGTATCGGTTTATTTCTCGTTATATTTCATTTTTATGTAAGTTATGTAGGCTATCGTAATGGTAATTTACTGCTTCTAATTGGAACAACTGCTTGATTATAAGAATATTTCTGCATTTGGAAAACGATTTTTAATTATGACTTTTAATGTTTTGTTCTATATTCTTTGTATTAGGGTTAGATTATTTGCATAAATTGTACCCCAAGCAATTATTCAATATTTAACAGTATTATTAAAGAAAACATAATCTATTATCATAAGTGTCTTTCAATCCATATTTTTCAATTTTGCAATTATAAAAATCAAATACTTTGTTTTATATATTAAATATTTAATATGCTTATCCCATTTCATATTATAATCAAATATAATACCTAGATACTTGTTCTCTGTTACACTAGTTAATATATTATGATTTATTTTAATGTCTATTGTTTCAGGCACGCTACCAGAATAGTTTTCAAAAGTCATATATACGGTTTTGTTTATATTTAGTATTATGTGACGGACCATTTTATTTTTTTATATATGCCAATATATATATATATATATATATATATATATATATATATATAGAGAGAGAGAGAGAGAGAGAGAGAGAGAGAGAGAGAGAGAGAGAGAAATAGGTCACCTACGACAGGTTCACTTACGTCGCTCCAAGGCCAACAGCATAGCGATAAGATGCTATGGTCAGCAGCACATGTGTGCGCGCCTCGGCGAGAATGAGTGGGAAAGACCGAGGGCACTGCTGTAGCATATTACTACAGCCCAAGGATCCAGAAAAATTAGGATAAAGAAATTAGGAACTTTTGGAGGTATAAGTACGTTATGTCATAGTTTATTTGGGTTAGTAACCATTGACGAAACCGATAAAATAGAAGCCAAAATTAATCAATTATATGCAGACCAAAAGGATATTCTCAAACTTTTCAATGATAGGACTCACATAATCACAACCGAAATAGATAAACTTTACAAAATGATAGATATTCACAGTGAGAAAATTTACAAATTAAGCATCCAGATACGGTAGAAATTCAAGAAATTAGAGAATGACAATATTCGATTGGAATAAATGATTTCAGTACAGTCTCTAACAATATAAAACATACCATAATGGACCTTAATGTTCCGATTTCGACAGAACACCTTAGAGTGGAGGAAATTGCTAGAATTTCAAACATCGACGTAATATATCAAGGAAGTAGGACGTACATCGTTGTCCACTTATCTCTAGTTGATAGAAACTAAACATAAACTGAAACTTGGACTAGTTAAGAGAAGTTATTGAATGGCATTATGGAAAGAGTAGAAATCACGCGATGTTTGTATCACTTATAATATAATTAATAGTTCGTACTCTCGTGGTCTTGTCGCGTTAATGAGTAAGAACTCGTTTCTATTCAAATTTACTCTAATTGTCAATATGAAATAAATAGATAAATCAAGTATATTTAAATATAAGTAAAGTTCCAAAGAAAGTTAGACTATGCCCTAGTTTCTTATGGTGTGAATTGTCCCATAAGCAGAGCTAAAGTCTTCCTTATAAAGGATATAATTTAGACCAAGCTTCTTATAGCGCGAAATGTTCTATAAGTTGAGCATGAATTATAGGAAAGGAAAGGTCTTGTTCAGTTAATCACAATGAGAGAAAGAACTTAGGTATTAGCCAAGTTTATTCAATCTCATGCGCTCTCTTTGCAAGGCTAGAAGTGAATACCAGCCTGTGCAATGATGGGCGTATTTATACATAGATTTTCTGGCCTATTTTCGCAGGAGAGTTCTCTCCGAGAAGTTTTCGAATCTTCGAGAAATATATGTGAATTTTTGAGAAATTAATTTTCTTAATTTACAAGTAAATAAACATCAATATTAAAGTTTTAACACATGTAAACTTTACAAAATTAGTTATATGTCGATTTAGTGTAATTTACAATTATCAGAAATAGTATCGCCAAAAGTTATTAACTAATAAAGTTAATTAATGTAATATTACTATATTTACAATAGAACAATATTAAAATTTTACTTAACATTATTGTGACGCCGGGGTCACTCTCAGGTACGCTTGGAGTAAGCGTAAACTCAGGGTTGCTCTGATTTGGCTATCGTGTAACTCATTAGCCGGGACGAGCAATATTGTTGCGTTAAGAAAACTGTATTCTAGCGCGGAATGTAATAACCAAATGTTATTACGAACACACCAGACTCACGCTTAATGTGTTCTGAAGGGACTTTAATAAAAATTCACCAAACTCACGCTTAATGAATTTCCAAAAAAAAGGGCGGATTGCTTAAAGAAAGAAAA